CTCACCGCTGTGGCCTCTCCATTTGCGGAGCACAGGCTCCGGACGCGCAGGCCCAGCGGCCATGGCTCACGGGCCCAGCCGCTCCGCGGCACGTGGGATCTTCCCGGACCGGGGCACGAACCAGTGTCCCCTGCATCGGCACGCGAACTCCCAACCACTGCGCCACCAGGGAAGCCCCAAATTTTTACTCCTTTTAAATGCCTGAAGATTTATCTCTGGAGCTATCGTTTACTTACTTATTTACTCTCAATAAACTTTCAGGTGTTCAGGGGAAAATGTGTGTGTGTGTGTGTGTGTGTGTGTGTGGCCCAGGTGGGGCTGGGATCCAGGCAGGGGGTTGGGAGGCCCAAGCCCCACTTCTTGAACCTATGGGGAAATTAATATTTACATCAAACTTAAGCTTGGAAATTTTTTTAAATTCAAAAGCTGAAGCAAAGTAAAAAGCATTTGGAACTAAGTTTCTGGGACGCACAGGGATGGGGGATAACGAGGGGCCCAGAGAGAGAGAGAGAAACAGACAGACAGACAGAAAGAAACAGAGAGAGAAAATGAGAATAAAGCAAAATGTTAAAAATTGGTGAACCGAGGTAAGACACATACTCGTGTTATTATACTATTCCTGCAACCTTTTAGTCTGTTGGAATTGTTCAGAATTAAACTAAAAGGTGAAGTAAACACCTACACACCCTTAGGCTCCATGTGCCACCCTTGAGCAGGAGGCAGACCCAGGGTCACAGGCAGGTACTGTCACCTGGGCCTTAGCGAGGGCCAAGGGGGATGCTGCTCAGGTGCCCTCCCCCCCTCCCCTCCCCGCTGCCACTGGCGCCCCTGACTCAGGCTGGGCCGTCAGCAGTTTCCACCTTACTGCATTATTTTTCTTTTCTTAAACTCTTCACACATTCTTATGGTCATTTTCTTATGCCTGGCCCTGCTTTGCCTCCTATTCTTCTGTGCCCTTACACTGAGTACTGGGAAACAGGGTTATTTGACAAAGGAAAAAATAAGGCCAGAATTGTAACTCAAATACTTGGAACGAGCTGCCTTTAAAACTTCTTTCTTCCAGTAAGAAGGTCACCTCGGATTCAAGCAGAAATGTCAAATTGCCTGTCATTTAAAGACACATTTAAAGAAAATAGGGCAGGAAAATAGCATTTTGCTTGCAAACTTCTGCAAAACGAACTTTTCCCTCTGGGCCTGCAAAGACCGACCACCTTCCTCACTATGGCAGTTCTGGGTACAGCCCGCTGCTGAGGTTTCAGTTAGTGAAAACGAACACTGCTATGTGCTTGTGGTTTAATCCTCTGAAGCCACTTCCTGGAGAGGTCGCAGTAAAGCAGCTATTGTGCCAAAGTTCACAGAGAAGAATGGAGAAAACTGCCTTGGCCGGGGATCTGGGGTCGGGGGTGGGTTGGGAAGCCCAGGCGGGGCTTGGGGGTCCGGCAGGGGCGTTGGGAAGCCCAGGAGGGACTTGGGGGTCCAGGCGGGGGTTTGGGAAGCCCAGGTGGGACTTGAGGGTCCAGGTGGGGCTGGGGGTCCAGGTGGGAATTGGGGGTCCAGGTGGGGGTGTTGGGAAGCCCAGGCGGGGCTGGGGGTCCAGGTGGGGCTTGTGGGTCCAGGCCGGGGTGTTGGGAAGCCCAAGCGGGGCTGGGGGTCCAGGTGAGACTTGTAGGTCCAGGCGGGGCTCCAGGACGCAGCTCTGGGCCCCTGCCTTCTGATGGTTCCCCATTGATGGGGAGGGGGGTTTCTAGAGTGCAAGGGTTACTCCCTCTGTCTGCAAACCCTGCCCTGGCCAGTTAAGAGCCATCTGGTTTTACTAGGAGACATTCAGAACTGCATCTGTGCCAGGAACAGGAAAAATGTCAGACTCCTTCAAGGATATGGGGAGGAGGTACCGGTAAGGATGTTTTTTCTGGATTCACTCATCACTCCCAACTCCCTGGTAGACTTTCGATCGTACACATTCCCTGGTAACTTCTGGCACTGGGCACTGTGTAGTCCACAAAGACTGTGAATAAGACCCAGCCTCTCTCGTCCAGGCCGTCCCCACCCGTGGGAGCCAGACAAGTCACAAGTCAGGTGTGGTGGATGGCCTGATTGCTCCCACTTCATTCCCCTCCTGGTGTAACTTTGCAGCTCCTCCCACTACAGGTGCGGGTATTTCCTGGTCCCACAGATGGCAGTTTGGCCACGTGTCTTGCTTTGGCCAAAGGAACGTGGGGGCCAGAAAGAGTGAGCTAGTTCTGAGCAAGCACGGCCTCGAGTGCTTTCGCCCACAGCGTTTGAGTTTTGCCATCACATGAGAAGATCATCTCCCAGGAAGTCACTGGTCCAAGGAGGGTGAGACACCCATGGAGCTGACTTGGGTCCCACCTGAGGCTTGGAGCCGAGACTAACCCAGCGTAATCTAGGTCAGCCAAGCTGCATCTGACACACAGACCTGTGAGCAGCAGCAAACGGCTAGTGTCCTATGGCATTCAGTTCGGGGCTGGCTTGTTAGCAGTATTGTTGTGGCAGCAGCTAGCGATACAACAGGCGACTGCGATAAAGCGTGGGAGGGACCACGGGGAGATGCAGAGGCATCTGATACTCCAGCCTTGGGGAGGTTGGTAGGGCGGAATGCTTCGTGAGCTTGTATGAATTATTCACTTTTGGGCCCTCATTTTGCTTTTTCCTCGGGGATGCTCTAGATCAGAGGGTCTGCTGAATCCCTCAGCGCATGTCAGAATTGTATGTAAAGTAAGAGTTAATCCATAAAGACTCTAGGAAGAGTTCTCTGACCAGTAAAATATGAGGAACTTTCGACTTCTGGTGATTCATTCACTCATCCCTTCATTCAGCAAATAGGAGTTAGGGAAACAGCGGTGAATAAAATAAGGTAGGGTCCTCAGCACATGGAGTTTACATGCTGGAGAGAAGAGACATGGTTAGTGATAAATGCCATAGAGAGCAACAGAGCAGGAAAGGAAATATAGAGCACTGGGGCAGAAGGTGGTGCAACTTTACGGGAAGGTCAGGGAAGACCTCACCAAGGGTGATGCTTGAGCCCAGACCCTAGCAGTGGCCTTAGGTGAGGAAAGAGCCTATCAGGCCAAGGGGTAGGGAGTGCTAAGGCACGCTTCAGGAGAGAGAAACACGTAAGAGACAGACTCCTATTCCAGTGAAAGTTGCTGTCGAGGAATAAATTCAAAAATTTGAGTTTTCTTGTTAAAAAATCCAGGCAAAAGGGTTTTGGTCATCAGGGGAAACCTCCAGGACCCATCCCAGGGACCATCCTCAAGGGGTTCTCTGTTTGGGCGTCAGTGGTTCTTGGTGGCCCCTCCTCTGTGTCCTCCTCTAGGCTGCGGGGTGCTGGGCCTGCGGTCTCCACTTCCTGTGTCCTCCAGAAGTTCCCGGGAGTGATATTCACCTGGTCCATGTGGATGATGTGTGTCTCTGTCTTCACCATCCGGCCTGAGGAACACATGGGTAAGAAGTGACTCTTGCAGCTGGAGGGGACATGCCTGCAGCTTCTCTGGGGAAAGGAGTTGCTTCTCTAGGGAGGTTCTGTTGTCCTCGAAAAGCAAAAGGTGTTGGTAGGTGATGGAGTCTTCCTCTTGCCCGTCTCCTCTGGTGCACGAGCTTGCCCTGGGCATCGGTCATTCCTGCCAAAGGAGCAAACCAAAGAGACCCTGCTTTTGCCCTTGACAAAAGGTGCCTTTGGATTTTAACCGTACGACCTGCTGCAGCTAAGCTGAACTCAATCAAGATCGACTTTGAATGATAAGGCATCAACAAGTCAAAAATAAGGCCAAACTTTTTTTTGTCATCATGTGAACCTGACTTGACTTTTCCCACAAAATGTCGATGGGACTTGATAGTAGCCCTAACCTTGTGATTTGGGGCTTTTGAGATCTTTGTGAGAGGAGGGGTTCGTGGGGCCCCCACGTTTTCCGGGGCATGTGGCTTCCTCGGATGGACCCAAAGCCTGACTGTGGGTTCTTTGTCATTCAGTGGCTGCAGGGAGCTGCCAGTTTCATGGCAGGCATCCCAAAACCAGGTTCAAGGTAGAAGGGGAGCCTGTGGCCATGAGGTGCCCCCAGGTGCCATACTGGGACTCTACCACCACCCACGTCAACGTGACATGGCGTAGAAACAGCTCCACCACGATGGTCCCAGGAGAGGAAGAGCTGCGAGTGTGGGTCCAGGACGGAGGCCTCTGGATTGTGCCAGCCTCGCGGGGGGACTCTGGCACCTACATCTGCACTGTCAGGTCAGCCCCTCTGGGATGAGGGTGGGAAGGGGGGCCCTTGCGGAATGGATGCTTGCATGGCGTTTCTGTGACAACCTGGATTTCAAAACCCAGCGCACAGGTGGGAACACACCTTACGTCCGCTTCACTGTCACTGAAATACCTCCTACCTGAGAGCCTGTCCGCAGATGTCCTCATGGCGCCCTCTCTCCCTTCACTTGAAGTCTCTGCTCAAGTGTCACCTCTATGGAGAGGACGTCCCTGGCCACTTTATCTAAAGCAGGTCTCCTGTCACTCTCCCCTTACCCTGTGCTCATTTTTCCTCATCTGTCACACGTGTATGTGTTTTATGTACTTAGGGTTTGTCTACCCTGTTAGAACGTAAACTCCGGAGGACAGGGACTTGGTTTGTTTTGTTCACTGCTGAATCCACAAGGACCCAAGAAATAGATGTAGGACACTGAGTAGAACTGGAGACCCGGGTGAGACTTTAGTAAGAAGTTAATCCAACTGCTTATTGCACACCTGGGGGAACCAAGCTCACTCACAAAGTTCTCCCAGGTGGTGGGTGTGGAGGTGAGGCTGGAACCCACAGCTCCTGACCTGGGGCGTGGTCCACTTCCTCATTGCCCTGTTGCTTTTTTTCCCCTTTAATTGTGGTAACATAAGCATAACATAAAATTTACCATTTTAACCCTTTTTAAGTGTACCATTCAGTTGTGTTAAGTACATTCACATGGTTTGTGTGACCATCACCACCATCCAGCTCCAGAACTCTTTTCATCTTCCCAAAGCTGAAACTCTGTCCCCACTGAACAACTCAGTTTCCCCTCCCCATCAGCTCCTGGCAACCCCCATTCTACCTTTATTCTGTCTCGATGAATTTGACTATTCCAAGTACCTCATATTCCAAGTACCACAGTATTTGTCCTTTCGTGACTGGCTTATTTCGCTCAGCACAATGTCTTCAAGGTTCATCCATGTTGTAGCAGGTGTCAAAATGTCCTTCCTTTTTAAGGCTGAATAATATTCTGTTATAGGTACAGTTGACCCTTGAACAACACGGGGGTGAGGGGCCCCAACCCCTAAAGTCAACAGTCTGCGTATAACTTACAGTCAGCCTTCAGTATCCACGGCTCCTCAGTTTTGCCTCCATGGATCCACCCAACATGGATTGTGTGATACTGTAGTATTTGCTATCGAAAAAAAATGTGTGTACAAGTGGACCACACAGTTCAAACCTGTGTTGTTCAACGGTCAACTGTACATACCATATTTCATTTCTCCATTTATCCATCAAGGGACACTTAGGCTGCTTCTGCCTTTTGGTTGTTGTGAATAATGCAGTTTGTACATGGTTGTACAAAAATCTGAGTCCCCGATTTCAATTCTTTTGAGTATATACCCAGAAATGGAATTGGTGGATCGTATGGTAATTCTATATTTAATTTTGAGGAACTTATATTGTTTTCCACAGTGGCCAGACCATTTTACATTCCCTCCAGCAATGTACAAGGGTTCTAGTTTCTCAACATCCTTACCAACACTTATTATTTTCTGTTTTTTAATAGCCATTCTGATGGGGCTGAAGTGCTATATCACCGTGATTTTTTTTTTAACATCTTTATTGGAGTATAATTGCTTTACAATGTTGTGTTAGTTTCTGCTGTCTAACAAAGTGAATCAGCTATATGTATACATATATCCCCATACCCCCTCCCTCTAGGTGGTCACAAAGCACCGAGCTGATCTCCCTGTGCTATGCGGCTGTTTCCCACTAGCTACCTATTTTACATTTGGTAGCATCACTGTGATTTTGATTTGCATTTCCCTAATGATTAGTGACCTTGAGCACCTTTCCATGTGCTTTACTGGCCATCTGTGTATCTTTTTTGGAGAAATGTCTATTCAAGTCGTTTGCCCACTTTAAAATCAAGTCGCTTGTTTATTTGCTTTTGAGTTGTAGGAATTCCTTATGTATCCTGGATATCAATGCCTTACCAGATATATGACGTGCAAATATTTTCTTGCATTCCACGGGTTGCCTTTTCACTCTGCTGATAATATCCTTTGATGGACAAAAGTTTTAAATTTTGTTGAAGTTCAATTTATCTAATTTTTCTTTGGTTGCCTGTGCTTTTCATGTCGTAGCCAAGAAATCATGTCTAATGCCATGAAGCTTACCCTCTGTGTTTTCTTCTAAACATTTTTATAGTTTTGGCTCTTATGTTTTGGTCTTTGATCCATTTTGAGTTAAATTTTATATACGGGTAAGTTCATGGGCCAACTTCATTCTTTTGCATGTGGCTAACCAGTTTTCCTAAGATCTTTCATTGAAAAGACTGTCCTTTCCCCATTGAATGGTCTAGACATACCTTGCTGCTTCTTGAAGGAGAAAGTCGTAGGCCTAGTGTTGGCAGCCTTAAACATTTCCTGAGTTAGTTTTTTTTTTTTTTTTTTGCGGTACGCGGGCCTCTCACTGCTGTGGCCTCTCCCGTTGCGGAGCACAGGCTCCGGACGTGCAGGCTCAGCGGCCATGGCTCACGGGCCCAGTCGCTCCGCGGCATGTGGGATCTTCCCGGACCAGGGCTCGAACCTGTGTTCCCTGCATCGGCAGGCGGACTTTTAACCACTGTGCCACCAGAGAAGTCCCTGGATATCTGGTTTTACAATAGCTATAAATGCATAATTTTTCTTTCCTTTTTAGTGTCAAAAATTCTAACGTTTTTCTAAGGGACGCTATGAGGAAAACGTAATAGCGTGGTAGAAATAGGATGGAATTTGGAGTCAGAATGATATGGATGTGAATCTTAGTCCCTCATTTGCTACCTGGTAGGACCTTGGTCTTATTATTTGATACTTATGGGCCTCAGTTTTCTCCTTTGTAAAGAGGTTTGTTGGGAGGGTTCTGTGAAATCACAGCATACGAAGCATAGAGTGTGGGGAGCACCACTGTAGGTGTCAATATGCACATGGAAATGGCCTTTCTTTCCCCAGATGCAAGACTTATTTGCACTGAAGTGATAACATGCAAAAGTTAGGGAGATGTGAGCTGAGTCACATTTGCCTTAAAGTTTGTTTTTATACGTGATTAAAAGATTTGTGCTTAATACCTTATTTTGTTTTGTATTCTCGTAGGAAAAAGAGATCAGAGATTGAGAGGCCAGGGAAACCCGATGTGGGTTAATCTTTTGTAGCTCATGGGAGAGTTTCCCTGGCTGACCTCTAAAACTCTCTTCCAGCTTCGGGATTCGGGTCTAATAGAGCAAGAATCACCAGCAGCTGCCATAATGCCCTTTGGCATTTACAGTCACAGGGCATAAAACGGCTCTGCTCCTGTGCTGTTTATAATTTTGTGACTTAGAACCCGCATAGCTGTTCTGTTCATCAGGGTGGGCAAGGTGATGCTGCTGGGCCGCGCAGCCCCCAAGTCTCAGTGCCAGGACCTGTAACCCCACCGTCTGCTCTGGATGGGGGACAGGACATATCTGGTGGATGGCACAAATGACAACCACCTCTTTGCTGTGGGGCTGCCACACTACATGGGGAATACGAGTGGTGATCAAATGATTTCCCCACCCATCTTTCTTTTGAGTTATTTCCATGGGGCGGGGGGGGGGGGCTGGGGTCTGTTGCCCAGGGGGGGATGACCAGATCAGTAACGCGAACAGGTTTGTAACTCTCAATATGTCTCGTAAGCTTGGTGTCTGGATGTAATGCCCTGATTTACAGGTTTTCCCACAGCCCTACTGGCTTCTAACCTTGGTTTGACGTCTTAGAGGCTCTATAGCCTTAGGAATTTACTTACTTTCTGCACACCTAATTTTCCTCATGTAAAAGTGATTCAGTAGTATCACAGGGTTGGAGGATACATGAAATGATGTATCGCAGAGCACAGAGCCTGGCAGGCCCTCCTCCCCAGGAGCTGCTGGGAGGGCTATTTTCAGGTGTGCTCCGTTCTTCAGACTCGCCCCATTAGCCCTCATTAGCATTTCTGCGATTTACAGTGAGATTATGCATTCTTCAAGGCGATAGCTGTCTGCATTTCTTCATGCGTAAAATGTTTTTCATCTTTTTCCTTTCTTCAACTAGATAGGAAGTAGAATATAGATATTGGCATATATTATATATTTGAATTAATTTCTTCTTGCTTTCGGGTAGTAAGCATTTATCACTTACTACTTTCACATATAATTTTCACATTTTGTTCCTTCTTTGGGTACAGAAGTTTTTTACATTTTGCTGTACCCCTCCCTCCCAACCCCATAAAACACACATGCTCATTGTCTGTGTTGATGTCCAGTGTTTCTTAGGTAGGTCACCAGCAGCTTAGCTGAGCTAATTATATCTTTATGTTTTTCTACTTAAAAAAAATTGTTTGAATGAATATCCTCGGTCCTTCCCTCCGCATCGTCTGTGTTTCTGTCAATGTTTTGCCTCTGTCCTTTCCCCAGTTCTAGCGTCTTGATAGAATGATGATATTGCAATTATAGTTAGACCCACCAAAAAAATAAATAAAAACCAAACAAACAAATTTACCAAGTTAATTTCCCCTGTGCAGTATTGCAAAAATCATTTCTAGATCTTATACAAAGTGCTCAGCAGTTTTCTGAAATTTGACTTCAGTTGATGATAAATGATTTCCAGGAGAAGTAAAGAGGATTTTCTTTATATGGAAACAGTGGCTCTTAGGAAACAATATCTCCATCTAGATAAGGTTGCCTGGGCCAGGAATTTGGAGCATACTGGGGCTGTGATCAAGAACCTCTCCCGGAACCTGGAAGGGTTTAGGCTCCCTTGAAGAGGACTTGAGGGTTTTTTACTGGCCCTCAATGGTCTTGAAATCAGGCTTGTGGGAGGGTCCTTTCTGGGAACATGCAGAATATATCACCATTTCTGTATGACAATTATGATGTGTTTTTTTTTTTTTTTTTTTTTTTTTTGTGCTCCAAAGATTCAAAAGGACAAGGGACAAAAGTACTGCAATACAAATGAGGAAAATACAGAATGCAGAATTTAATGAGATTGGGGAATTATTCTTAATTTCATTTAGTTTTATTTTCATTTTGCCTTGCCATTTATTATTCCTTTTTTTTCCCTTTTAAATCAGAAATGCCTCTTACTGTGATGAAATGTCCGTTGAGCTCAGGGTTTTTGAGAAGACAGAAGCCTCCCTGCCTCTCATCTCCTACCCGCAAATTATAACCTTGTCAGCCTCTGGGTTATTAGTTTGTCCTGATCTGAGTGAATTCATCGGGAACAAGAATGACATGAAGATTCGATGGTACAAGGTACACCTTTAAGAATTGCCATTTAATGAAAAGGTGTTTGATGAGCCATAGGAAAGATATAAAATACTCATTTGAAGACAATATGTTCACTTATATATTTCTATTTTTTTAAACCAGTGATTTTAAAAAGGGCCATGATTAATATACTCTATTAGTCTTGATAGGGCTTAGGTAAGTGTCCTCAGATGGTGATTTGAAAAGACAGAGTGAAAATGAATGCAGAATAAATAACAGCTGAAGAAAATAGCTTTTTACTCTGTTGTTTGTCTATAGAAATTTTTAGAAAGAACTATTTAACAACTTGATACACATGTTGATAGAGTTTTTTGAAAGCACGTAAAAATCAACCTTTGAGTTAAAGGAGTAAATATAAACACAATTTCGTGTCTTGACTGGCTGAATAAATATCTACTATCATTGGCTCCCTTGTTTAGACCAGGTGTGGGCAAATGACAGCCAGGGCCAAAAACTGAGCTGCCACCCATTTTTGTATGTTCACCAGCTTAGTTTTCACTTGTTTAAATGGTCAAAAAAAAAAGAATAATATTTCATGACCTGTGAAAGTGATATAAAACTCAAATCTCGGTGTCTCTAAGTAATGTTGTACTGGGACACGCTCATTTATTTCTGTGTTTTTGTGAGGCAACGGCAGAGTTGAGTAGTTGAACAGAGGCCACGTGGACCGTAGGCCTAAAATATTTACTCTCTGGCCCTTTACAGAAAAAGTTGCTGACTCCTGATATACACCATAGATTGATACTGAAAAGTACAGTTATTTGTTTAATCAAAAAATAGGTTGACCAGTTGACTGGTATTCTAACTACAAGATATCTATAGGATGTCAATTTAATATTAGGAATTTTTCAATGATTTTCGGAGAAAGTAAACAGCCAGCTCCTAGGAGTTCACCTGCCCAATTATGGAGCTCTTGGTTTTGTAAGAGCATAAAAAGGTCAAGTGAGGGGTTTTACCGTAGAGGAAGGAGCACAGGCTCTGGGGTTGACCAGTCTGGGTTGGAAACCCTGCTTCCTCACTGACCTTTTGCATAGCCTTGGTCAGTTATTTTACCTCTTAAACCTGTTCCCTCTGCAAGACGGCAGTTCGTCACCGCCACTGCCTGAGATTGTTTTGAGATTAAATGGAGCACAGTGTGTGAAGCACCTCGTGCAGTGCTTGATATGGTCCTCAATAAATTCGGGTGGACAAGGGTATCATGGTGGCGCTTAATAATAATATTTGTTCCTGTCCTAAGAATGCTAATCATTACTGAGCACGTTCTGTGTACAAGTCTGTTCTAGACTCCCTGACATGAACCCAGCGCAGTAGGGGTTGTTAATATCTCCATTTTACAGATTAGGAAACAGAGACCGGAAATGTAAGGAATGTGCTGAAGGTCATGCAGCTGGTAGAGGGTGAAGCCAAACCTCTGACCCCCGAGGCCAGAACCCACACATCCCTGCCACATGGGGGAGACCTGGGGGCTCGTAGGCCCTGGAATAATTGTGCTGCTGGGCCCTGTTTGGCTTTTTTCATATTTGATCACTCATGTTGGGAACAATGAAATCTCTTTCTTTAATTGGATACATTGTACAATTAGACTTCATGAGCTATGTGGTTGACAAACTATTCCAGTTTTGCCTGGGTTCTCATTCAGAAAAAGTCTCTGAAATGACTCAAGGTTATATATGACTATTGCAATCATCATTTTTTTTAAAGGCATTTCTTTTTTAAAAAATTAACTTATTTATTCATTTTTGGCTGTGTTGGGTCCTCATTGCTGCGCACGGGCTTTCTCTAGTTGCGGCGAGCAGGGGCTACTCTTCATTGCAGTGCGTGGGCTCCTCATTGTGGTGGCTTCTCTTGTTGCGGAGCATGGGAGCTAGGTGCGTGGGCCTCAGTAGTTGTGGCACACGGGCTCAGTAGTTGTGGCACACAGGCCCAGCTGCTCCATGGCATGTGGGATCTTCCCAGACCAGGGATCAAACCTGTGTCCCCTGTATTGGCAGGCGGGCTCTCAATCACTGTGCCATTAGGGAAGCCTCGCAATCATCATGGTTTTGAAAGAGATGTTCCTGAGAACATTTTGTGCTCGTGAGGGTGTGTTCTCTGTTACTGGAGACTTCCCTCTTGAGGGTCTGCTCTGTAGAATGCACAGTACCTTTTGTCCATACGGGAAGTGTGGCCTCATGTCTCACATTTATTTTTTTATTATTATTTTTTAAAATAAATTTGGTTTTGGCTACGTTGGTTCTTTGTTGCTGTGCTCAGGCTTTCTCTAGTTGCGGCGAGCAGGGGCTACTCTTCGTTGCGGTGCGTGGGCTTCTCATTGTGGTGGCTTCTCTTGTTGTGGAGCATGGGCTCTAGGCACATGGGCTTCAGTAGTTGTGGCTCGTGGGCTCTAGAGCACAGGCTCAGTAGTTGTGGCGCACGGCCTTAGTTGCTCCACGGCATGTGGGATCTTCCCAGACCAGGACTCAAACCCGTGTCCCATGCACTGGCAGGCAGATTCCTAACCACTGTGCCACCAGGTAAGCCCCACATTTATTTTCGTCTTACAAATTTTTCTCTGTCTCTACTGACTCCTAAAATTGAGATGATTTTTAAAGTGATTACTTCAATATCAACTCTTCTGAGCATTGTTCTCCAAGTTGCCATGACTACGTCATAACACCCCTTTCTGGATGTTTCCCAAGCACTCTTTTCTGGATGTTTCTATAGGCAGCTGTTATGCCATAAATTTATTTATATTTTAATCGCCTACTTTGTCAAAGAAGATAGTTTCTTTTTTTTCCCATTGTGCCAAAGCAAATGTGCTTTAAACATTCTGGTTAAACAAATCCAGCCATCCCGTGTTATATGCTAACAAACTCCCCCTCCTAAAAATACGGTTAAAAGCATGTCCCAAAGGGCAATATTTGCAAAGTAAATATCAGAGCGATTCTTGGATTGCAGATTCAACAGTGACGGATAATACCAATGCTGTTCATAGTTTTTGAGATGTCAATTAAGATATAGCGTAACTTTGAAAAACATTTTCTCTTAAGGATTCTGTCCCTTTGGATCAAGACAATGAGAAATTTCTAAGTGTGAGGGGAACTCGTTTACTGGTAAACAATGTGTCTCTGGAGGATGCGGGCTATTATCGGTGCGCCATGACGTTTGCCCACAGAGGCAGGCAATACAACATCACCAGGAATATCAAACTCCGTGTTAAGCGTGAGTACTTGCCATCAAGGTACCTCTGCACCCTGGTTCAGCAACAAGCATGCAAGGAAGAAATTAGGGTCCTCGTAGAATTCTTTGAATGTCTTTGGTATGAAAGGAAAGCAGATATGGCAGCTCTCTAAGCATCAGGCTTCTAAGATGTGTAGGACACTTGGAAAGAGAGGAAGCAGGGTGTTTTTATGAGGAATGGTGAATCCCTGGGTAGTTGACAGGGTTCCGAGTCTGAGGCTAAAACATGCACCACTAGAGGGAGCCAGACAGCGGTTCTCTTGGAAGGTCTCTTTGCGAGGTCCCCTTGGAAGGCTTGCACCTCCAGGGCCAGCTATCAGGACACGGTTGCCGTAACTTTGTGTATAATTCTAGGATACTAGGATTTTATTGGATTTTTCAGTGAGAAGGCTATGCGTTGGCATATGTGGTGAAAATTGCCCTTTTCTGGTCTTTCCCAAGCAGGTCTAGTTACCCTTGAAACCAGGATTTTAAATAGTGAGGGATCTCATTGGTTTAAATGAGTTCTACCTGAAAATAATGTTGTGAACAGTACTGATTAGTATGTCAAGTTTATCCCCTCTTTCCTCCATGCCTCCTACGTGTGGGACATCAAGCTTGGTGCAAAGGGCACACAAGTGATGCAGTTCTGGCCCCTGCCCTGGAAACTATGGCGCTTTTCTTTGTTTTATACACTGAGTAACTACACAACTGGAGTCTTTTAAGGGCGTTTCAGAGAGCATTGGAACTATATTAAGGTTACATAATTGGTCTGTGAGGGGAAAGACTTTTCTCCCAGAGAATCCAGATTCAGTTTTACCACAGGGAAAAGCGTGTCTCCCATGAATGGAAATCTCTAGATTATTTTCTTTTAACGTCTTGTGAAGATTCATTCACATCAACCCCTTGCTCCTGCACAGCGGGGATCCCTGAGAATCCCGTGACTTTGAAGGGGCCCCGAATTATCCTGTTCATGTGATACTGCACAGGAACACTAGGGGGCGCCAACCTACATATAATCCTGTGTCCGGACCACACTGTGTCTCAGCCGTTCTCAAAGGGTGGTCCTCGGCCAGCGGCAGCGGCGGCGGTGGCGGCATCATCTGGGTATTCATCAGACCTGGAAAATCTCAGGCCCCATCCCAGACCTACTGAATCAGAAACGATTAGCAGTCTGTGTTTAACACTCCCACCACCCCCGTGTCGGTGATGCTGATGCAGCCTGGAATTGGGACCCATGGATGTATTAACGTCTCGTCCTTGGGGCGTCCTTCTTTCTCTGCTTCCAGCCTCTGTGCAGCAGCCCTGTGACCCTGAGGGGAGGGAAAATCTCCCGGTCATGGTGGAGAAGCGGCTGCTCCCCGGGCTCTCCTGGGATGCTGCATAATGCTTACTCCTGTTAGGGTTTCAAATGCTCTTTAGTGGAATAGGTGGGGATGGAGCAGAGCTCTTCGTCCACCCCCATAAACTGTCCTTTCTGCTCCAGTTCAGATGCCCAGTTTCTTCCAGCTGCTGGGGGACCTGCCTCTCAGGGAGCTGGGTTCCAATCCGCGCCCCACCCCCCCACCCCCGCCACCAAGGGTTAAT